CTTACAGACTAAAACTCTCTCCAGTGTCTTCCCCCAGGTCTCCCCTGGAGCTGCAGCTCTTGGGGTGAGTGCCCAGAGCTGGGCTCACCTCAGCACACCCCTGAAGAAGTTCCTCTGCCAGCGAGCCAGCAGCAGGACCAGGAGCGGGGCTGGGGACCTGCTGGGGCTTCTTCATTAGCTTCACATTAATTGCTCTTACCCCCCCCCCCGGGTCCCGAGCGGGGCTGGGGACCTGCTGGGGCTTCTTCATTAGCTTCACATTAATTGCTCTTACCCCCCTGCCCCCCCCGCCCAGGTCCTGCCTGCTGCTGCCTGCCATGGAAAGTTCAGTGCTGTTAACTTTGGCCGGGGCTCACCACTATTTTTAGGAGCTTTAAAAACACCCGGGGAGGTGCCTGACTATATTCTGCTGGGCCAGGGAGGGACCCTGACTGAAGGGAGAAATATTAATGGAGATCAAACTAAATAAAAGCCACTCGTGCCTGACTGAGCTCGGCCACGCTCCGTGGGGATACTGTGTGGATCGTGGTCACGGGGCAAGGCACCCACGAAGGATGGCAAAGGGGTTTCAGAAGTGGGTGCAAACCCCCCGGCCCCGCTGCCAGCTCAGGGCGAGGCAGCGCACGGGCAGACCCCCGCTGTGCATTCAAATGTATGCAAATGTGTCTTTGCATCTCCCCTGGCTGCTGGTGAGTGTGGTGGCAGGGGCCGTGTGCCCCCAGACCTGCTGCCCCCCACCAGGAGGGGCTCAGCCTCCCCCCGTGCCCGTGGGGCTGCTCCTCACACATCCCATGGCACCGATCCCACGGGATCGCTGCCCCGACTCGGGACCCCACTCACCCCTGAACCTCATCCTTTGGGGCTGCTCCTTCCAGTGCAGCCATAGAGCTGTTTAGGTTGGAAAAGACCTTTAAGATCATGAAGTCCAACTGTTCCCCCAGCACTGCCATGCCCCCACTGTCCCTCAGCACCACATCTCCACGGCCTGGAAACCCCTCCAGGGGTGGGGACTCCCACTGCTTCCCAGTTCAGTCCTCCCGGCCTTATGTGGCTGGATGGGCAAGAGCTCGTGGTGGCACAGGGAGGGCTCCTGGCCCATTGCCACCCAGACTGGGACAGCCCTGAGCCTGCAGGGGACCTCCAGGGGCTGGGCAGGGGAATCCCACCGGGTCACCCCTCAGCATGTGCCAACAGTGGTTTTGCACCAGCTTGGCCACTTTGGGACAGAGAAAGCAAAACATCTTCTCTCCTAGCTTCCTCCTTGGGATGAGCTGATCCCAGTGGCATAAACCATGCAGCCAGGAGAATCTCAGGCTGAAAAATTGCTATTTGGCAAAGCTCCTGTTGACTGGAGGCAGCATCTGGGACCCCCAGGCACAGCCTCTCTGCCTGGTCTGAGACCCCAAATGCTGCCTCTGCTCCTGGGTCCACCAGACCCCATCCCAGTGGCAAGAAGGACCCGTAGATGGCACAGGGAGGTTCTGCCTCCCCCCATGCATCCCAGCAGCTGGTGCTGGTTCCCATGGGCATTCCCAGTGGTACTTACTGGAAGGGATGGCAAAAGGGGGCACAGAGGCTTGCGGGGGACCCCAGCCCTTCATGTTGTAGGCAGACACCTGGACGTAGTAGGCTGTGCCCTGTGAGGATGGAAGCCATGCTCAGCACACCAGCACCT